TTCGGGGGCGAATTCATCCGAAAAATCGGTCGAAAAAATGCATTGACCTTATGGGAACCATGTTGGTGCACTTTTGATGTCCGAAACATCCAACAAGTCCGAATTTTTGAGTCCGAAAAATCAGTCGGCGACTGTATTCTAAAATCCTGAGCAAGCGCCATCTTCCACCGCCATTCTCACTTTTTCATTTACTGCTTTTATTCGCCCACCTAGGGCAAGTGAAAAACAGGAAATGCATGCATATTTAATAAAGTATTTCATTGGAAGCATGGGTGTGCATTCTTTATTCTTAACGGCTCTGTCTGCTGCCATTTTAAGCTAATTAATACATGAGCAAGAGCCCCACTCCAAATGTCGCCATGTTATCTTTTGCCATAGGGGGAACACTTGATTGGGATTTTATCGTAGGTGCTAATTTCAAAACATGTACTTAAGAGCATAGGCATTTGGTCACAAACAGCAAAATATGCATTTGTAGGCTTTTTAAGAGCGCTATAATAGTCCTTCTTCTTCCGTTCACATCCCTTGTATCAAACTGTGGCGACTGGAGTGCAAGAAACAAAATAGGCATTTGCCTAAAATCTAGTCTCTACTGATTACCACTCTCAGTTGAAGCTGAGTTTCTTTCAAATTTTTGTGTATGGTATCACTACTCTGAAAATCCCCGGCTTTGCCAGTTAGATATTTAGTATTCACCAATCACAGGTCCAACTCAGTTTTTCTTTACCTTATGTAAATTAGTCCATTTTTTAATTGCCCTTTTATTTAAATATTTTGCAGTATTGTGATGAAAAATTACTTCATTGACAACTATATGCCTTACACGAGAGGCTGTATTTATTCTAACGAAGTTTGGATATAAAAAAAGCCGGCTTTATGAAATAAAGGTTCAGCTGTGCAATTGGTGCTTATCGATACATTCTACATGTAAACCAGGTAATCATACAAAAATTGTATTGATCATAGAGGTTAAAAAAAGGGAAATGTGCATAAACCATCAGCAACTTGCATTTATTGAGCAACATTGAAGTAGTGGGTCAATTTACGAGGCTCTTACATATTTTCAGTGTTACTGCAGCTTTGGAGGCTCTGAAATGTGCTGATCAAGGCTTGTTAGATTGTGGTTTGAGCTGGTACACTGAAGGATAAACATAGTATTTTTAAACATTTCAGTCAAAATCCACGTTTGTGGGTGTGCCATTCAATTGTGGGCAAAAATATATTAGTAAGTGCATTAGTACTTCCAATCTATGTTGGCCAAGAATAAAAAGAAAATTGAGTTATGCACAATCATATTAATACAATTACGCTGTACTTACTCTTTTTTTGGTCTAAAGGGCTTTGGCTGCTAGTCATGAAAACGTGGCACTCCAATCATTCAGAGGTAAATATACTACAGTTAAAGCTTGACATAACGAAATTGGTAAATTCCCAGAAAAATTTGTTATAAAAAGAATTTTGTTATATGCAGGCTTGGTACGAAAATTCGGAAAATAAATGCCCAACTTAAACAAAAAGGCAGAGATAACTTAAAACACTTATTTTTCAGTAAAAAACTATGTTGTTATTGTGATAGCAATTATATCGACACTCGGCGGGTTTGATCATTTGATCTCTGAAGTAGAGACCAAATGAGTTGGCTCATTCCTATCGCCTGGAAAGTGCATAAGAAATCATCTCTCTCGTGTTAGAACTGCCGTCGAATGCTCAAACAAAGTAATCCACCCATCTTGAACGAGCATGAAACAATGCGGGGAGGGGGGTGGGGGGGTTTGCTTGAGTAGTAATAATTAACTTGAATTTTAAGAGCGATCGCATTCACTGGCGCGCTTGCTATTTAGACGAATATCAGTGCAGTTTCCATGCGAAGGAACTGTGTGAAAAGAGCACTTTTCTCTAGAGCGGCCATATTTGTTCACACGAGCGTTTTGCCTCGCCACGGTGTTTTAGTGGCTAAGGTACTTGGCTGCTGACCCGCAGGTCGCGGCGTCGAGTCCCGGCTGCAGCGGCTGCATTTTCAATGGAGGCAAAAATGCTGTAAGGTACGTGTGCTCAGATTTTGGTGTAGCCCCAGGTGGTCGAAATTTTTGGAGCCCTCCACTATGGCGTCTTTCATAATAAAATGGTGGTTTTGGTACGTTAAACCCCACATATCAATCAAATCACACCAGCGTTTTGTAGGAGTTCCACGATATCGAATCCAAGAGAGTTGGCTGCCAGTCTTGCTTACTATGACATTCCAATTTTTTGCTATCTCATTCATTGCAATGTATTCAACGCGCTGTCACGTTTCCAGAACTAATCAGCTAATCACGAAAGCTACCAGCCTGCGAACTTGCGGTGCAAGACGGAAGCGCGTGACGAGTCAACCTCCGAAGATCCATTGTCACCGTGGTCTTGGAGAGTTTCCATCAGCACCTAATCTGACAGCCCCTCGGTGGTGACGACACAGTTGTCTGAAATTAAGAAAAGTCACAGTTTCGCCTCAAGGGCAAAGCAATGAATGCGAGAGCAACTACTTGGAATGTAATGCTGAGAATGGCAAGCAGATCGAAAAGTGCAGCGTGCTGCTCACACACAAATGACGCTTGAAAACAACAATACACAGGACGAGAGCGAACTAACATCTACCGCTCAACACTTAACGCACTGTTTAAACACAAACGAGGCATGAAATATATTCACAGGTACAACCATGATTGCGAAATTAACAATTGCTCCAGTTGTTACTTCACTGTGTTTGAAAAGCGCACTTTTTTCGCAAACGGTGCCTACCAGGAAGCAAAGTGATCTTTGTGTGCCTGGCCACTAAACGCAATCGTTCCTGTCAAAGTCGAAGGCACGCGATTCTTCCTACCGAAGGGTAAGCACGCGCGCACAAGCATCTACCCTCCCTCCCCCATTTGTGTGGCAAAGTTCGTGTGGGAGATCGTGACGTGACAAGTCGGGCGCGGGCGGCTTTCTTTTTTTTTAATTACTTGAGTTTTTATATACATAAATAGGTATACATATACGGTCAATGGCAGCGGCGATGGCAAAAACCCAGCCGAGAATGTCCATAAAGTTGCTATCACAATAAAAAAAGCAAAGCTGGACTTCATCGGGACCACACCATGCGCGCGCACGGCACCGAAAACGAAGAGTGAACGACACGGACACAGACATGAACACCACGTAAAACTATTCAGCCCTCCTTATACAGCGGGGCCCCACATATGTGACGGCAACTAAAAGCTGACATTGCCAACGTGCAAAAGTAGTTTTTTTTTATTTTGGTTTCGAGGGGGGGGGGAGGGGGGGGCCACCCGCGCATGTGCCTGTAGTGGCGAGAATGACGGCGACGCCGGCTCGTGTGGTGCAGGCCCGCCTGCCTGCCTGCCTTACGCTCACCCGTGTGCAATAATGAGCGTTCGCTCTCCCCTGATGCGCTGTGCACGCTGCCGCCGAAGCATCCGCAGAAGATGCATGCTCGTACCAAAATGCCAAAATGCGAAGCAAAATTTCTAGACTGTCCGTGAAGAAAATTCGTTATATCAAGGTTGTGTTCCGGTGTTACTTTGTCATGAATACATTGCTTGTATGGAGCAATGACGGGGAATAGAAAAACTTCATTATATAGAGGAATTCGTTATATGGAGGTATAACTGTACGTTCATATCTAGGATGCCTTTCATACTGTATATATACCATATATTGTGTCATAAATGTTGCATAGAATTATGTGAGGCATAGTACTTTTATCATTTATTCCATGTGATTCACTGCATATGAAAATAAGCGAGTAATTCCTTACAAAAGCCATTTTGGTGTTTAACATTGCTAGTCTTACTAGATGCTGTTACCTCAGTGTGCTTCCTCAGTGCTCTGTGTGTTGTTGTGACCGGGGTTTGTGGTACCGGAAATCCCGGCTGAAGATGTCAAGGCAGGAGGAGGTTGAACTTTCTAGAGAGGGCTTATTTACATTATTTACATGGCAAGAGCTCTCTGGTCCGAAGCTGTACATTGAAAGGCTCTACATTGCAAGGCCCTCTATAGAACAAGCTCATTTGAACAAGCACACCAGGCAGCCGGCAAAGGCTGATTGAAATAGCATTTTCCCTAGATCGGGGAATAGGTCCACACTGCACTGTCCAATAAAAGGTTCCACAGCACACACGAAGGTCATTATGCCAACACCATCCCCAAATGCATACATACACAAACCAAGCACATGTATGGTCCCCGCAATGCTGCCTCCTCCGGCGAATCTTGCTTCCAGCGAGCGGGGCGAAACGAGTCTGTCATCTCGCCGCTCGGGCCGACCACCCATGTTTTGTCAAACAGCGGCCGCGGGCTATAGGTGCCTCAGAGAGACCATGCCTAGACATCTGGTACTGACTTGAGCGTCGGCGGCTCATCAGTCAGAGACGCACAGCCTGGTGGTCCGACGTCCGTAATCGGCGGAAGCTTGGAATTGTGGCTTTTACTGGGGCACGAAGACGCCGCGTGTCGCATCTCTGCACGGTCCCCAAGCACAGCGGTGCTCCGTCGAGTAATTGCAGCCATGTAGCACCCAGTACAGGGAAACAGCAGGGAGTCTTCGCGCGGCTCCTTATCTCCACAAAATGAGGCGGCAGCCTTTTTTTACGTTCTGGCGGCCGCGGCAAAAGGGTGGCTCGCCAAACGCAACAGTATCAATGTGGGCCTACATTTTTTTTTTGTTCTCCTGCCTCTTACGTGCACTACAACGAAACCTAAAAAATGTGCCACCAACAAGCCCTCATCACATTCCTCAGCACACTCATTTTTGTTTTGTTCCACTGGCAGGCAGGAAGTGTGTAGCAAGAGGAGTAAATATATCTTTATAAGTGGAAGAGCTTTGGCAATGCATGCATGTTATTTCAAATATAGGTTTGAATGCAGCATTATACGGCAGTCATTTCTGCGAGGAGCATTGTAGTTCTGCGAAATGCAAAGCTTTGCACAAGCAAGCAGGCTAACTTGCATGCTGTCGTCTACAGGTGAAACCAAGCGTGAACCAGGTGAACCTCGATTCATGCTGCGTCATACCCCAGGAGATGCAGGAATTTGCCAAGGCCAACAACATTCAGCTCCTGACACACAGTGACCCAAAAGGTGAGAGAGCGAGAGTGTTCATAAAAACATTTAGAAAAATTTTCAATGTCAGTGTTCAGATTGTAGCTCACTTTTGCTGAAAATTCGTTTCTGGTTTCATTGCATTCGTTTCATGGGGTCTAGCTTGCCTGGTGCGTGGTATGGTCGGTACGAAAAACTATTTGTGGATTACACAACCAGCAATTGGTGCTATACCTATGTAAAATTCTCGTCAATAACATTACACACAAACCTCGATATAATGTACCCACATATAACGAAATATTTGTTATAACACAGTAAATAAAATATAGTCTTCCAATAAATATAGTGTTAGCAATACACCCTTATAACTAATTTTCGCATATGACAAGCTTAATTCTCTTTGAGATGCAACTTTGTTATAATGAGGTGTGAGTGTACTTCTGTCAACATGTTTGCACAGTGCGAAAAACCAAGGATGTAAGAAAGGACACAACACGGACGCTGTGATTTGGAATCAACATGTTTGCATAGAGCGAAAAAACAAGCACATAGGAAAGGATACAAAGTTTAAAGTTTGACGGAAGCCCGTCTAGTCGGGATGATACATGGTTGAAGGTAAAAAACCTGGAGGCACTGCGCCGACCAAAGTAAAAGTTTAAGAAGAAAAAATGCAGAGAAAAGACCTTTTAGCTCCCACATGGAAGCCTTGTTCGCAGTGAAATGAAAACACTAAAGCAGTTCGCCTTATGTATGTTTCAATATATTGGGCAGGCAGCGCGCATATACTGACTGCAGATTACCATCGCTCCTGTTTAAAGTGCACGGAGTGGTTTATATCACGAGTGAGTCGAGATAAAGACGCCGTGACAGTCCTTTTTCTCTAGCGAGAACACGTGCCTTCTCCCAATCGATTGTGTGACCACCTGACGCATGGTCGGCCAAGGCACTGGATTTAACATTGCTTTTCTTAATGCCGGTAATGTGCTGTTTGAGACGCCGTTCAAAGTCACCACTTTCACTGATATACACATCATCACAATCTGCGCAAAGGACAGCGTACACCACACCAGAAAACTTCAATGGCTAATCTGTCTTTCACATTTACAGGCGATTGTCGTAGCTTTTGGTCCAGAACATGTGCCACACGGACGTCGTAGGAACGCAGAATATGGCTGAGGGCTTTCGGTTATGGAGGGAATATACAGTGTTCCCACACTCTTTTCACCGGATGCAGCACAGCGCAATTATGGACGTGCAATTTGTTGTTAGACAGCATTCAAGAAGGAATTCGGATAGCCACAGGCTGACAAATACTCCGAATCAAGCGTACGTCGGCTGCGTAGTCTTCTTTTGTTGTGCAGATTTTCTGCACGCATTCTAGAAGTGTAGAAACCATGGCCCTTTTGTGAAAAACGGGCTGCATGCTATCAAAACGCAAGTAACAACCTGTGCGGGTCGTCTTCCTGAACACGCCAAATGACAAAGAGGGCCCTGTTCATTCAATGAGCACATCAAGGAATGGGAGCTTTCTTTCGACTTCCATCTCTACCGTGAATTGAATTGCTGCTTCCATGCTGTTCAGGTGTGAAATTAACGCCTGAACCGCCTCTTGGTGAATGATGCAAAAAATGTCGTCCACTTCGTGAAAAAACACCTTCGGAGCTGGACTGAATGAGGAGAGGGCTCGACGGTGTTAAGAAAGGAAATGTTAAATCTAGTGCCTTGGCCGAGCATGCGTCAGGTGGTCACACTATCAATTGGGGGAAGGCATGTGTTCTCGCTAGAGAAAAAGGACTGTCACGATGTCTTTATCTTGAGTCACTTGTGATACAAACCACTCTACGCACTTTAAAAAAGAGCGATGGTAATCTGCCGTCAGTATGTGCGCGCTGCCTGCGTGATATATTGAAACATACATAGGCGAACTGCTTTACACGTGTTTTCATTTCACTGTGAACAAGTCTGTGTGAGAACTGAAACTCCTTTTCTCTGTGTTTTTTTTTTTTTAACTTGTACTTTGGTCGGTGCAGTGCCTCCAGGTTTTTTACCTTCAACCAGGAAAAGATACAACACAGGCACTGTCTATTCCTATGTCCTCATCGTTTCGCACTGTGCAGACATGCTGCTTCCAAATGACATAGTACTAGCCCAAGCAACCGTTTTATCAAATTACTTGTGTGCTGCAGGGAAGATTAGAGGTTTCAGTTGCTGTCCATGATGTTTATAGAAGGTTTACATGCTTGCACCAGGCAAAAGGTTTCAACGCGAGTTAATCACCACATGCTGTCAGATGACAAAATTTTTTATATTCTCTTCCGATATCCATCAGGAATTGAGCTATGACAGTCTACTTCTTGATAGTTTTCTAAACATGCATGTTCTCTTGATAACAGCTGTCCCTATGCCTGATGTTATGAGGTTTTTGGGCTTGAAAATGAAAGGGGCTCTCACATGTTAATAGAAAAGTGTTGGTTGATTTTGCAAATCTTATTTTTTTGCATGCACATTCATTACTACTTAGCATTAGGCATTTAGTGCCACTGCGCAAGTGCTCTTCAGCGCATGTTTGAATAGCACCTATATGCAGCAAATGCGACAGGTTTAGAGGGCCGTGCAGTATGCGTAACATTTGACAGCCTGTGGGCTACCTTCAAATAAAAGGTCTTGGGTGGGACACTTTACCAAGTGGCTTGGCGAAATTCAAGAAAATGAGCTCGATGTATCTGAAATTATCTTTATTATCTGCAAATTTATAGACTGTTTGAGTAGCGTCAGTATAGTTCACAGCTTCAAGCAAAGACTAAATCGAGCTAAAGTTAACAATTTTAGCATGTTTAGGCTTATTGTGATTTGCTCAAGAGTAATACACTGCAGTATCTTAAAGCAGCACTAGTAAGAGTGATAATGACTTGGAATTTCAAATATCTGATGTGCTGCCTGCCTTGGGAAGAGTTATCATCGTATATTGCTGGTTATAAGTCCACATTTTTTTTTAATAAAACGGCCTCCCAAAGTTCGAGGGTTTACCTATAATCAGAGTTGACCTTTATGCGGAATCGTAAAGTATACTTGGAATGATAAAGTCGACTTTTCTTAGGAGTCTGACAAATGGTCGTCATCCGCAGCTTCACTGCTATTGACGCATCAATAACATCAGCCGCAGAGGCAACAAAGTCACGAAAGCTGCTATCTCCCACCATGCGCTCACCGCTTCTGGAGACGGACATTTCTACGATCTGCCACGACAATTGGGAAACTACGGTATAGCTATGGTGGCTAGACGATAAGGTGTCAGTAACGGCGCGTTCAGAGATACAGCATTTTTTCATGACACGTAGCCGACACATCACGTTTTTGATGGTAGCGCCACCGCATCAGCGCGTCTGTCGAACAAGATCAACCACAACACCGGCACTCACCGCATATGGGTGTGACAGTGCATTTGACTCGCAAAGAAATTCGACATGCATTCATTGCTCGCTGATAATACGACATACGTCTGTTCTGTCGCGAAAAACTCGACATGCATCTCTCGCTTGCAAAAAACATCACGTTAATCGTTCACGAAACACGTGACATGCGTTTCTCGCTTTAGCGGACAGCGTGCCCTAACACCACTTGCTGACTAGGCAATTTAAAAACTCAGATTTCCCGCGAAGCACCATGGACAATCCACAGAAATCTGGCAGTGCTGTGTGGGCTGGCACCACTTTGCTGGGATCTAAACCAAATTACCAGTTACATGAGCCTCACGATTGCGCCCACAAGCATCTTCGCGTCTTTTTGCGCTCACACCTGTTCGCCATTTCTGCATTTCGCCTCGCTTGTGAACAGTGGTGTGCGCAATTTGCAAAGCTGCTCAATGGATGCCAAGATGCCATCGCTACCCCAGCAACTGTACAGTGCTGCTTTCGAGCGGCAAGCGATCCTCTACGCAAAGTTGAAAAACAAGTTGAAGCAGGGTGAAGTTTGGTGGGTCGGAAAAGTGCGTAATGGAATAGAGAAAACAAAAGACCAAGGTGTTCGCATGCACTGCGGCACGCCATTCCTTTTACGGACCGAAGTTTGGGTACCCTGCCGTTAAAGAGGCGGTTCGAGATTGAGTTCACGACCGAAGAAGCAAGAGCCTGAGTGTTTGCAACGATGATATTGAAGCAAAAGCACATACTGTCGCGAAGGATATGTGCATCCCGCTAACCGAGTTCAAAATATAAAAAATATGGGTTACGAACTCTATGAAACAGAACGTCCTGAGCCTAAGATGAAGCACAATTTTATGCCAAAGTTTACTTGAAGCCTACGAAGAAAAACAGCATGCATTTATTCGTTACATGAGTGACCTGAAGGCAAAGCATTCATTCCTACTGAATCAAATTGGCAATGCCAACCGGACTCCCATCTGGTTTGACATGCCTAGCAAGAGGACCGTGTCCAGAAAAGGGGAACGCCAGGTTCACCTGCTGACAACGGGCAACACGCACAACCATTTCACTGACATGTTGTGCTGTACAGCCAACAGGCATAAGCTAGCTCCATTTCTTCTGTTCAAAAAGGAAAACTATATGTCAAAAAAAAAAATTTGCTGAACGTTATCGTGCGAGTTAACGAGTTTTTTTTTTTTTTTTTTTTTTTAACGATGAAATTGTCCTCGAATGGTTTCGTCTCGTGTGGTGCAGGCACTGAGTTCACTGCTGAAACCTGGCAGTATGCTCACAGTGCTGGACTCCTTCTGCTGCCATATCACAGATTGAATGAAAAAAAGCGGTAGCGAACTCTGGATGTGAGCTGGTCATCATTTTGGGCGAACTGACACCTATTCTCCAGCTGCTAGACATGGCGCTGAATAACCTATTCAAAGACTGCATATGCACATTCTACAATAAATAGCGCTAGCAAGAAAACTTCAAGACATCGATAGGAAGGCCAAAGCGTGCTTCTTTGAGTGAAGTGGCGTAATGGGTTAGTGACGCCTGGTATAGACTGCCAACGTGGCGTTTTTTATGTGGGACATCTCACTACCACCAGTACCCCTTTTA